AGACGACAAAAATTATTCGATTAGACCCAGAGGGGTCTAGCCAAAATCAGCCATTGGGTTTTCTTTCAAAAAGTTAATTAGTTTCAGTAGTTGCCCGGAGTCAGATATTTGGCGCTGTTTCACTCCCTTGCCACGGAAAACACGTAAAGCCGTTGGACCTCGGTTCTCGGTCATGGTCGTGTCGGATTACCGTCCCATCGGACTATTAGAGTGAGGAAATAGAGAGTGTACCCGTGCTCGCGCATACTCTGGGATACTATAACCATGTACTGCGCAGATGACTAATCTCTGTTGAGATTGGCCACCTTGACCGAAATTCGGTCTAGAGGACATTATTACTAAAACAAGTCAGCAGGCAGCACTTTTGAAACCTCGACTGATAATTTGAGTTTTAAAACAGTTAGTTCTTCACCTTAAGGTACCTACTGCGAGTTGCCGAGGCCGTCGTATATTCTTGGGGATGTTGCGATCTATAGGCCTATTTTGGGGTACTAGGTCCGGGTAGAAAGAGTACTTATTGAATTTTATTAATTAATTTATATACAAAACTTCTGTAACTATAAGCTGTCATAATGGAATAACCTTACAGGTTGTGATACACGAGCGCACAGTCCGCCTGATAGTAAGTTGATGTTGTGGCTCATAGACATCTACATCTTTTCTCAAGAATCAAAGTGCTGATGCGTTGTCATCCCAGAGGACTAAGATAGAAAGCCTCATTTCCAGTTAAAAGGATCTCCTGTTCTGTACACTTACCATACGAAACACAGCAGTATTAAAATAATATTCTAAAATAGTATTCTGTGTGGTCCTTTCCCGGTCGAACTGACTCATGAGTGCTACTACCATACTGTAGCTGTAGCCTGGCTCTATCTCTTATAATGCAAATCATGAACTTTATAGCAAATTGTATATAATGCTTTCCTTCTAACTCGCTCGAACCACTTAAAAAGATAACAAAACAAGTCTATCGCACTTACTATAAGGTTGAGAGTACAGTATACGTACGTGTAAATAGCACCTCAGCTACAACAAGCTCGACCTACCGCGACAATGTTTTACGAGTATGTCTACCGATACTCGTATGTTATCATAAACTGTGACCATGTTCCAGACCTAAGCGTGTAGTGGCGGTGTAAGAATATGCTCTAACTTATAACAACCCGCAGGTGTTGTAAGTAGCGCATACTCTTACACCGCCACGCCACGCGAAGAAGGGAAACAAATCAGGTGATGAGAAGCAGCCTCTTCTTAGTAACAACTAAAAGCGAATCCACTTGCCAATATAAGCAATTGCCTTCTATGACTTTACTAGGCTGTAACGGTAACGGTAACGGTAACGGTAACGTTGTTCCTAACGGATCGAAATTCCTTTATGTAGTGGTGTTCATCGCGGAGTTGAGTTGGCCCTCTGCAACCAACTCTTAGGTCGGTAAACAGAGACAAAGTTTAAACAAAAACTTCACAATATTAAAATTTGCGTGTTAGCAGTAATGGCTTATGAATCTGAGACGTGGTCCTTCACTGCTGAGTGTATGAGAGATCTCAAAGTGGATCAGCGAGCTATGGAGACGGCCATGCTCATGGTTTCTCTGCGTGATATATACTTAGAAATTAAGATATCCGCCGAACACCCAAAGTAACCGTCATAGCCCAGCGGATTAGTAAGCTGAAAAATGGGCCGGTAATATATAGTTCGAAAAACCCACAACCGATGAAGAAGGAATGTTTTCGAGTGGCAACCTCGTGCCAGTAAGCGAAGTGTAGGGCAGCCCCCTACTAGATGGAGTAATGACCCGGTAATCCTATCTATGCAGGAAGTCGATGGATGCTGGTAGCTCAGGAACGTGCTTTGTGGCGTTCCCTGGGGCGGCCTATATTCAGCAGATCACTTGTGAAGAGCTGTAATGATGATGATGATAATGACTCACAAACCTTCAGACTAGTTACAATTATGATAACAAATTACGTATTACTGTATAAAATCAGGCTTGTAAGCTCACGAAGTCATTCTGCAACTTCTTTTTCGGAAACGTTTTTATTTTATTTTATTTAAAAAGTACACTTACAATACACATATATGACATAATCACGAAAATATACACATTTCGATACTCTCAGATATGTATATCAATATAACAAGTGTACATAACATTCGCAACGGCGTGGGACACATCTCCGGAATAGCTAGAAGAAGCGAAGCTGCGGCGTTGAAGAAACGGCTCGAAAATGGTCAAAGGATGCATGAAGATAGCAGGAGTGTGAAGACGATGCGGCGCTGATGATATTTGCGGCTAATTCTTGTTTATTATTAGAACGTTAAATATATACGTCAAATTATCTCGCATCGATATGCAGGTAATTAGGAAATAAATGTTTTCTTCAGACCTTCGCCTTCTTTGTTATGGTAGCAGCAGGGTATATATTATTTATTGCCGTTTAGGGTTGATTAGCCTGGCTGCTACAATTCCATCATATCATGCAATTTTGGGTTAATTTGGAGTAGAAATAACATCCAATTAATACAATGCAAATAGAAACTATTCAAGTAAATTGGGTACTTAAATAAAAAGATCTAAAGAAGAAAAAAACAGGTTTAATTATTAAGTGGGAACATGGTAGATATTATATTGTCTTCAAGAGTATGTACATTTTTAATTAAAGTTTAAGATAAATTCTATTCAAATTATAATTTATATCAGGAACTCGACGATAAATGATTTTGAAGTTGTATAAGTTTAATTTTGAAAGCAATATAGAGTCGTGAAATATGTCAATGCCAGGTACGGTTATTGCCATATATACGCATGATAGGAGCGTGATTCCCGAGATGAGTTTTCGCGAAAGGAATATGAAATGATGACAATTTTAGGATGCGAAAACGGGGATATTTTATTGTGTTAACGTGGAATAGCAAAAGAAATGCGGTCAAGTAGGTCACTGCACTTAACTTTATTGTGTACTATTTTATGTAGAAAATACAAATCTAGAATGTCTCGTCTATTTCGGAGAGACATCATTTTAAATTTGTCCGGTCGCTGATTGCAGGGCTGTATGACATACCACTGGCATGAAAGGCAATATGTCGAGTAAAGGCGCGCTGTGAACTTTCAACCCGTTGGAAGTGCACACTAAAAGATGGTTTCCATATAACACTAGCGAATTCAAGGTGACTTCTTACGAAAGCAATTATATAAAAGAATTTTAGACCCAGAAGAAAATCCCTTTGTATGATTGCGTTTAATGAATCCTAACAACTTCGCGGCTTTGTTAACAATAATATTTATATGTGATTGAAAGGTTAACTTTCTGTCAATAGTTACTACTAAGTCTTTAATCTCCTGTATCTCTTGCAAGCTACATTATCTATTAAGTAACTAGAGACAAGCGGTTTTATTTTCCTGGTATATTTTACATGGAAGCATTTGTTAGCATTAGAAGTTATACTATTGACGTCACACCAATAAGATATTCTATTCAGATCATCTCGTACAGCTTTATATTCTCCACTGATTTTAGCTTTTTATAAATTTTTAAATCATTAGCAAATAACGAGCAACGATAATTTTTGATTTCTCTGGTGATGTCGTTAATAAAAACCAAGAATAATAGAGAGCCCAGATGCGAACCTTGAAGCACGCGGATTGAGCTTGATACTGTCTAGATTCAAAACCATTGACAAGAACAATTTCAGATGTCTTTTCGAGATAAAATCTAAACCACCTAATGAAGAAAGGACCAATACCATACAGAGAAAAAAAAATTTTTTTCCTGGACCCCCCCCCCAAAAAAAAATCAACTAAAAAAAAAAAAGTTTAAATATAACAAGAAAAAAAAAAATAAAAAAAACAAAAAAAAAAAAAAAAAAAACCCCCAAAAAAAAAGGAAAAACCCCCCCCCCCTTTTTTTCGACATCTGTTTCATTAATCTTCAATTTACTCAAATGTGTAATATTGCTGTTTTGCATAAAGCGTGCCACTATGTTGTTAGTTGTTTCGGTGTAAATGGATGACAAATGGTTTGCAAACAAAAAGAGATTGCAACCTTGTTATCCAATTTTATGGACTATCTAAGTAGCTGTAGAGCAATTTGTTAAATAAATATATTTCGTTGGTTTATTTTTAATAGACGGTGAATATTTATATTACGAGAGGAAGTGTGAAGGAATAAAAATTAAGTGACATTTAGATTCCAATAATTTATTTCTTTGACTCTAGCACTATTAGTTGTAATTTAAAATTAACTACACAATTATCTTGGCAAGTCATTGCTCTGATGATTGATTGACGAAAATTGATGACACTGTTGCTTGCTTTGGCCAAACTCAATAATACCTATAGTACATAGTCTACGGTAAAAGTATTTGGGTATGAGATCAATATCTACAGGCGTCGTTTACTATAAATTCAGGCAATAAATATTTGATCTATTTTAAGCTTGTGATCCGGCCAGTTTCGTTCGCATATGATCTATTATCGTGACATTATTAAGATTAATTATTAAGATAATTAAAGACAATTTATTTTATCGTTTTTCAAAGAAATCTTTAACTTTGTCGGATAAAATATAACCCGAATCCTTTGTGACATCTTTCTCTATCTGTTCGAAACTTTACATCACAATCGTTTCAGCCTTTCTGATTATCAGCCCGGAAAAACAAACACGAAAATTTTAAAAGTGGTTATTTACGTTTTAATTACATGCAAATAACCCTGAGCTTAATTGAAACCAGTTATATCAATATTACAGACGGACATTACAATTTTATTTATATATAAATATGCATGTATTCTAATTATATATTAAATAATATCCAGAATTTGACTCCAAATACTCAGTCAAATACTTAGTCTTATAGCTTGACAATGTCATGTAAAGGTCCTTAAAACTAACTTTTCATACTCTGTACAGTAATTTTAACTAATGCATTAAATGTGAGGGAGACTCATTTTGTTTTGATTCCTTAACAATTATGTCACTGCGATTTATCCAGTCTTATTTCAACAGCTTAAAGGCCTACACTGTACTCCAATTTCGGTACACCTACACTCCTGACACGGCGTTGATAACTCTGTTATTATCCTTCCAACTCGATACATTTGTCCGTAGATGTTGCATCCAGCTAATTTCAATAATCCTGGTCCAAGCCCACCTAAAGAATTAAAAGAAGTAGGTATATGACTTTCTTGTGGAACTGAAGTGTATTGTCCAATTTCACTTTTTTTAGTTACTTCTACAGGCTTCGATGCAACAGTTGGTATTTGGGTAACAGGTCTTCTAAATGGTGGAGGCTTTCTCGTAACAAGTGGTTTAAATGGGACTGCTACTGGACGGGGAGTAGTTTTTCTTATAGCAGTTGCTTCGCCTAGAACTAGATGATCAATACGATTTATTGTATTATGTGGTTGTTGAATTTTTGGTGGCGTATATGATGCATGGTGCGTTGCAGGAGTTGCTGCAATCGCCGGTTGTCTATTGGTGCTTGGTCTTGGTGTACTATTTATTGGCATAGGCACTGGTAATTTTGTCACCGGTGTTGATTGAACTGCTGAAATCGTAGTTGTTTCATAACTATCACTAAGAAGAAGTTTTAAAACGCTCCCGAATGAGAATCCTTCATCATCGTCATCTTCATCTTCATATTCTTGTGAATTATTACTGTGTGCGTCTAAATCATTTATGATTTTCGTTGGTGTACTAGCTGTATTTTTTTCAATAGAATTTGTTTCTAGTTTCATTTCTGTTTTTTCCGCTGGAACTGTTCTATTAATTAATGTAGAAGAGTAGCTATGAGCTATGTTTGGTTGCGATGTTGTTGTAATTACATGAGATATTGTTGTAGCGTTTTCTGATAAAGGCACTTCCGTCAACAATTCTGTCATGTTAGCTGAAGGTATCTCAGTTTTATTTAAAGTATCTTGTACACTTCTTGTGGATATGTATATTGGTGCTGGTGTAGTCTTATTACCTGAAAATAAAACGCTAGTTAGTTCGTTACCACGAATGGTTGACCTTTTATTTGCGGTGTAAGAATATCCCATATCATCCTGTAGGTTTCAAGTAGCGACAGTAATAAACAAACTAGTAGATGCGTAGAAGTGTCTTAATTCCGTGACAACTATGGCAAACAGCAGAAAGTTTTTTAATAGTATGTATTTTATCAAATCAAATCAAATAGTTTATTTGTTATTCACAGGTAATAAAAAGGTCTTAATTTTAATTAATAATTATATATATATATATATATATATATATATATATATATGATGAAATAGATGAAATGTATCTATGCATCTCTGATGCCTTTCTTTATTTTCCAAAATGATATTGTCCAATGTTTTGTGTCTTTATTTGTGAAGCATGCCGATTTCCTTAACATTTGTTTCAAATTTAGAAATTCAAAAAGTAAAATCAGATAGGTACCTTCATTACAAATTAAATCACCACAGCATAGGTCTATCGAGCTTGAACTGGATGGTCGTCTTTTACATCCTGGAGGAATATGGCAAGGGCGCTGAGAGCAGTGTAAATCACCCCAAGCACAAGTGCACACCGAACATGCTAAATATATAGATTCTCCTTCAAGAACCCTGCGGCCGTCTCCAGACACACAATCACCTTAAAATATTTAAATTTATTAAAACTTTTCTGTGTTAGACAAAAGTGTTCTAATTTTCCATAAGTATTTAAAAGCGCAACACTTATGTGACAAGTGATTTTATTTAGATGTTTAAAATTCGTTTTTAAATGGTAAGATAATACATATGGGTTGCATACTTTACCTTTGACGGTATCTAGTTGCATTGATGTGGTTAAATGTGGTATAATGGAATTGGCTGGTGTGCTAGGGTATACTCCGTAATAATCATTAATAATGCTTGGGCCTTTTGGTATGAAACCTCCTTAAATTTTAAATATTAGTTATAGATAAGTTTTTCATTTAAATATGTGATGTCTTGCTGTATTATTGAAACAGACTAAGGATTTATTTATATATAGTATTTATATATATAGTTAATTTCATTACAAATAATATCAATATGCTATACCTTCAGTTTCCATAGGAGGTGAAAACAAATTTACTGCTGGAGTCTCCAATTCAAACTTTGTGATTGGATTTGGTACTTTGGTAACTGCCTTATTTCCTTGCGGCACGTTGCTACTGGCAGATCCTTGTACAGTATATTCGTGCAATGCGGTGACTATATCACTAGTAATACTGGGATATTCATTGGTAAGGTCCACTTCATGAACAGAAAGTGGATATTGATGAGGTTCAACTTTCTTCGATAAAAATATTGGAAATTGGGTTGGATTATAAAAGTCTTCTCTTCTTGTTGCATAGGGAATTTCTTTAGTTCCTACGCTAGAATAATAAACTGGATATTTATCTTGTTTTTCTCGACTAGGATACGTAAAACTTTCTTTCGACGATATATCGTCATCGACGACAGCGTCTGCTGCAACGAAAGGAATGATCCTAAAAATAAATTAAAGTGTTATAATATTTATTTATGAAATAAATATACAAAAATAAAATTATAATATATTATAGGCACTTTAGATTTGGTAACGATGGCGGTAACGTAGGCTTATTGTAGTTATTATAATCGTAATCTTCCATTGTTTTCTTCGAAATATTCAGGGCATCATTCATTTCGGTCGATACTGACATTGTAGTTGAGGTAACAGTGGTCGAGAGCGTTGGGTTCGTTCTTATGGAGCTATTTAATGAACTAGTCACTTTGATGGTAAAAGATTCATTATCATCAAAATCTTCATTATAATTTCTCTCGGTTATGATGTCGTTCGGATTATAGGTGTGATTTTCCAAGGTTGGCATGATATTTGGTATACGAGGTTGAAAATCAGACATTTCAACATATTTCTCTGTGTCATTATTTTCGGTCGAGTTCAGAGTTATTGTTGTAGAAGATAATTCTGCAGTACAATTAATAGTTCCGTTAATCATTATTTTTACAGTTCCATCGGGTTGTTCTGTTGTTTCGTCTTCATATGAAATTTCTGTTGTGGCTTCTGTTACTAAAGTTGTCGTTCTCTCAGTCGTTTCGATAGTTTTAGGTGTCGTTTGTACTGTCGTAGTGGTAACATTTTCAATGGCTTTTTTGCTTGTGTTATGAGAAACTGGAGGACCGCTTGTTTTCCTTTTCACTTTTGTTGTCGTAATCAAATCTTTATTTACTGTTGTTATTGTAGTTTCATCCGTTTCTGTAGTCGACAATAATGTAGTCGTTTCATTAACATATGACAATGCGTTGTGTAAGGATCGATCCTGATTTCTAATTGAAATAAGAGCGTTGTCTATTATCGGCTGAAGATGAAAACCTGGTAGACCTATAACAAAAAGTAAGTTAATACTTTTTATGATCAGGTAAATCAAAGAATGTGATATTTTCGTGAGTAACCTTGAGAAATGATAAGTGGATGACAAGACTCTGATAGATATATGTTTACTCTGTGTATATACCGTTTCTAATAGTTATATCAAACGTAAAGTACCGATCGACAAGGGAAAGCAAGATCAAAACAATACTAATTTGTAAAATAAGATTTTGTCTTAAATTTAAAGCAAAAATGCTTTTTATCACATAAAATTTTGATTAAAACACCGGGCCCAATTTGAGCAATAATTTACTAAAAACTTATTCTTATTTTGATTTTATCTATAAAGATAGGAGTTTGAATATTATTACTTAACAATTTTATTTGATACTAGAATATTCATATTTTGGACTGGAAATATCGGTAGTGTCTGAAAAAGAAGGAAGATTAAGCTTACCGCGACGATGTTGATGATCACATTGATATTGATGTGGACAGCATTGCCCTGGCGCCAGAAGGGGTTTACATCCAAGCAATGGCGGAGCACAAGCCAAGTGCTGGCATTTCACAGAACCACGAAGACAGAAGCAGTGAGAACAATTTATGTTGATCCCTGATACAATCCGCTCTCCTTCCATTACCCATTTCCCCTCCACTTTGCAATCTGAAATTAATGACATACTTAGAATTTATTATAAAAATATTAGCTTTTGTTACGTAATTTTAAATACAATTAGAAACAAAATTATAACTACCACATTTATTTGTAGCAATCATATTCAAAATTTGCTAAAATTTGCGTGAAAATTTAATTAGCTACTCGTAAAATCGACGTGTTTAACGCGGATTTAATATCTTATATATAATGGATTCCTCAAAGTAACGCCTGATTGTATTAAATATTTTATTTTAATATAAACTAACTTTTTTACCGTTGTAACCGTAGATTATTTTTATTGAATACGAGGCTTTCCATCTCAGTCTTCAGGGGTGACAACGTCTGCATATTGATTCTTAATCGAGGTAGGTGCCTATGGGCCACAGTATCCACTTACCATTAGTCAGACTATGTTCTCGTTTGTTAACCAACTTCAGTAAACATGGATTTGAACTGATTTAAAATTAATTATGAGAAAAGTGATTTATCGCCATTTCATATATTCCAAATATAAATTAAGCAGACCAACGATGATCCTAAACTAAGTATCACAGTAATCAAATAAGACCTACTGTAAGAACTATAAATCAGCACTTTTTTATAAAGAATACAGGTAACAGAAGAGAACACAGTTCACCTGATGGTGAGTGAATGAAAATACAAAGGCGTTGTCACCCCTAAAGGCTAAGATGGAGTGCTTTGTTTCCAGTAAAATGTGTCTTCAGTTCTCTACAATCACCATACGAAACACAGCTGCATTAAGCTGCTATTTTACGCTGTTATTCTGTGAGAGCCTGATCTTTCTAGCTGCAGCGAGGCTCTACCACATATCTGAGGGCACGGCAGTGCCCCCACCAATTTGAGTAAAAAAGTGGCACGGCCGTACCATACTTTCCTCGAAGCAGTTTAGACCATTTTCAACCGTACCATAACTTCGTTGTAGATATAATTAGAAGTCTGAATTTTCAGTAAATAAGCTGGCATTGTATATACACAACATATTTCAAACTTTATTCAATTTGAACCAGTAGTATAAGAATTATAACTAGTCAAAGTTTCTTAATTTTGTTAATATAAAAAGTTAATCTATTTATTTAAAACATAATAGATTTTTGATATTGATAACGTCGCTATAAGATGTTGATAGGTTATCTAATTACGTAATAACTTAAAACATAAGGACCCTTAAGTAGGGACTGAATAAATTAACTGACTTGGTATTACATGGCTCTCACAACTTTTTACGTTAGAAGAACTGAGTTGCAAGACTAGTTTTTTTTTTACAAGTTATGTTTTTGATGGCATTACTTTTTACTGTTACCTGTAGATTGTTAAAAATGATGATTTTGTATTCTAACTTGGAGTATGACAACTTACCATGTACATGTCGTTCATCAGGGGGGTTTAGTACTGACATAGTCACAGTAGTATCTTTGAGGGCAGCAAACTCCAGGGGCAGGGCGAGCTCGACATCCGTCTGGGGGCGGCAGGCACTTCGGTCTCACGCAACGACGAGCCCCACCCAAACAGAAGCACTGTTCGCATGCTGTGTTGGAGCTCATTGCAGACCCCGCTGCGTAAGCTGTGCCACCTTCCACGCACACTGGAAAAACTAATTTTTTGTATTTTTTTTTCTTTATTGATCATAGAACCAACAACACGTTATAAATATATATAGAAATTCTTAAGTAACGCTTAATGCAAATAACAGTTCTTACTTTACATACATATATACTAGCTTGCCAGGCAGACGTTGTTCTGCCCTTTTCGACGACCTTTGTCTTATGAAAAATTCCTATAAATATTCCTTAAATTCGCAAAAAGAAATTGTTTTGGGTCACTCCTGGGCAAAAAAAAACAATCCTATCTCTCAAGTTGGACCAAACTGCACACGGTGTGCAAATTTGATTAAAATCGATTGAGTAGTTTAGGAGTCCATCGCGGACAAACAACGTGACACGTAATTTATATATATTAAGATAATATCCATTGATATAGTTGACACATTAATTTAGTGCTTAAATATTTTAAGCTACCTCAATAATAAGTTTAAACAAAAGAGAAGTTATAATTTGTAACGGAATAAAAAGCAGAGAAATAAAATAAAATATTACAGTACTGAAATATTATACAAAATATTCAACACACTCACACACATAATACACAACACAACACTTCACATCACATGCGCTCGCATTTGTGTATGTGTTTCTTACTTGATGTTAAAATAATATAAAATGATATGATATAAAATGATTTGTGTGCTTTTATTAACTTTCTGATTATAAATTTTGTGGCCGTGGAAGGAAAAGGGGAGATCTCCCGCCAGGCAAGGTGTTCTGCCCGGGGAGCGGCCAACACTCCGTGTGATAGTTCGATGATGTTCTATATATACTGTTTATGATTCGGAATGTTGATAGCGTGATTTAGGCTTCGATGTACTTTCGCTTGTGCCGCGACCACAGCGCCGCCACAATCTACTTACCATGACCATTAGACGAGGCTATATCAGGGTGTTCGGTTTCAAATCTGGCAGAAGCACCGCGTTCCATTGTTATTGCACCATCTAGAATCACATTTACATAAACAATATCATTTATTTACATAACATTGAAATATATACAATATTAAAGAAATTAAAATAATTTAAAGTAGAAACTTAAATTATCCTACAGTCCTATTGCACGCGGTATAGTGCCATAAACACTATAGCAGGAGTGGCCAACCGGTCGATCGCGACTATTAGTCCAGTCAATCGTGGCGAGTCAAATAATGTAATAAACATAAATACGTAGAACAGACTGCGCAACGTAATCACCAACTGCTGCACGCATCATCTTTTATAATTTTCAATCGCCGTTCCGTCATATTATTTATTCTGTGGTTCCGTCACGTTATTTCTCCTCCCCTTTACGCAGTATAGCGCTCTTTTGTTTTCGGCACGCGATGAAAAATAAGCGGTAAGCCATTCATGGTTTACAGCTGTATTGAAATACCTACAGTGATTCGCCGTATATAAACGATAAGTAAAAACATAAACGAACAAATAAAAAAGATACGGTCCGCTGCGTTGGTTTTTCGCTACATCACTGATACTGCACAATTACTTATTTTTCTTCGGATGGTCTTTGAAGATTTCTCGCCAAAAGAAGAACTGCTAAGTATGATTTCCATAAAAGGAAAAACTCATGGCGTTGATATATTCTCAGAATTCAAAGCATATATTAGCCAGATTAGGCTACCTTTGTATAAACTCGTATCAATGACAACTGATGGGGCTCCTGCAATGTCAGATATTCACAATGGTTTTATTGCTCTTTGTCATAAATAGTTCATTACCTACCACTGCATAATTCATCAACAAGTACTGGCTAGTAAGAGACTAAACACTAAACATGTGATGGATATTTCTTTCAAGATTGTAAATTCCATAAAAGAAAAATCTTTCCAAAAGTGGGTCTTTAAACAGCAATTAGATGAGAAGGAACCGGATTTGGCATAGTACACTGACGTAAGGTGGTTGAGTCGAAGCAAGTTTTTGCAAATATTTCGAGACCTATTGGACGAAATAATAAAATTTCCTAATGAGAGAAAAAATTTCAACAATTTGTAAACATCAAGGATCACATGGAAACACCAAGAACCTACAAATAAATTCCTGACAAGTACACGGCAGAAATTAAGGCAGTATTATCAGACTTTGAAATTCGCTTTAATTATTTAAAAAAAATTGAGAAGTTGGTGAAATTCATCAGTTACCGTTTAATAATTCTATTAAACATAGTAATATCTATGAAATGTCTACAAAATTTGCAGATACTTTTCAAATGGACCACATGATACTTCAAAACTAAATTATTACTCTGCGCTGCGACATATTTCATGCATAGTTTTTTTAGATTCCTCGGCCCTTTTTTGTATAATCAAGTCAACGCAATTTTGTACATATATCCAATAAAAATGGCAGACTGTAAAAAGGTAATTCGAACATGGTTACAAAATTTGTCATAAGATGATACGGAGAAGTTGCTGATTGTTTTAAGTTAATTAATATCATAAGTAAATTAATGATAATATATTTTACCCAAATAACCCTTATTAGTTAGTACGTTATTCATTTTACATAAGAAACAAAAAATATTTGTTATGTATCTTTTAGCACATACACCTTAGATACAGGTTTATCCTAGTTCAGGTGCTTGTTATTATAGACTATTTTTAAAATTAAGACTTATTGGAATAATTTGTACAGTTTATCAAAAATAAAATAAATTATTATTATTATATTTCTAAAAGCAAGGTCATCCTCAGGTTTAGATTTCTTGGCATTGGTTTCCAACGAGAAATATCCAAGTTTGAAGAAATGTGTTGAACAATTGCATTCGGGTTTTGTTTCAACATATTTATGTAAGTCAGCATTTTCCTACTTAAAACAATCAAAAAATTAACACCGTTCTCGCTTGACAGTAGCTTATACACTGGATCTTTTAAGGTTGGCAATTTCCAACTACAAACCTGATTTTGCTAGTCTACCGGAAGATGCTCAGACGCAATGCTCACTCTAATATACATTAAAAGTTACAAAGAATAATTTTCAGTTTTATGTTTTCTCTCTTAATAAAATAAAAAATACTATTTAATTGTGTACTGAAATATGCTGTTTCATTTAAGATTTCGAGAAGTATGTAATTGGTAGATCGCACAGGGCTTCCTTAGTAAACAGTAGATCCTGGATCTAATTAAGTCGGCCACCCCTGCACTATAGCGTTTCCTCACTAATTGATTATACTTAGACTTAAAGAGAGAAATCATCTCTCTTTTTCTCCTATCACCAGTAGGGACAAGCAGTCTTGCATACAGTTCTTGCGACAAATGACACAAATATGCAGTCATCTCTCAAAACTCATATTTGCGCCACTTACTTAGTTCAGCTAAGCCCCTGATGTCTCTGATATCTATGTAAGCAACATCCCACACTAGGGTTTTATCTCTCTCCCAAGGGACAAAAGTCATACCGTCGGGTCTCCTGCCATCGTCTCTAAATATGCCACAAGGCTCAATATTTTATTATAAACAATGATATTACCTTAAACAATGACAAAATGTTATTGTGTCGGTATCGCTAAGATTGCTAAGATCAGCATGTAAAAGTAAACCATTTTGTGCTGCATTTACTAACATGTTGTCTAACATGGTGATTATTAGACTAACCGTGCAGGGTAGTCGATAAATTCCTAGCCTTTAGTTTCTGTGGCCTAAAAAGCTAAATAATCAATATGTTTGGTAGTGATTAGCATTATGATAAATAATCGCAGCTTTTGACAGTACTATTTTGTTCTTTTCTTATGCTACCTAGTAGCGTAATTAACATTACTGATACTCTGTTAGCAAGTAATCTTAAAATTATTGTGTTAGTAGTGGTTCACGAATGTAGTCGCATCTCGGATTCAAACCCACGATATTTTAAAGAGGGATAAACGGGCACATAGTCCACCTAATGGTAAGAAGACGCTTTAATCCATAAATACCTATGTCTATATTTTTCTTTGACTGCGTTGTCTAGTGGTTGTAGTAGTGCCATTGCTGATCATGAGGTCCAAGTTTCAAATCCCGGGTCGAGCCCAAAAATCAATTATTGAGTTTTTCTGTCAAGAAATTCTCGATAGCTGCCCGGAGCCATGAAGTTTGCAGTGTCTCGACCCCGTGCCCCGGAAAGCACATAAAGCCGTTGGTCTTACTCATTGCGTTGGCTCTGCGCCTGATCTCTCTCCGGTCGTGTCGATTTACCGTCCTCTCGGATTATGAGAGTGAGGGAATAAAGAGAGCACCTGTGCTCGCGCATACACTTTGGCATTATAATCCTATCCTGCGCCGATGGCTAGCCTCCGTTGAGGCTGGCCACCGTGACGGAAATTCGGTCTGGAGGACATTATTATTACATCTATCTTAATTTAAGAATCAAAATGTAGATGCGTTGTCAACCTTGAAGGATAAGATCGATGCCTCATTTCCAGTAACTTTCTCCGCTTCTCTACACTTACCATACGACATACAAGCAGCTTATATTGCAAAGTTTGCTTTTTTACGCTGGTATTTGGTGAGAGCGTGATCTTCCGCGATCAAGTCGAGCCATTCGTTGCTTCAACCATAATATGTGTGGCTCTACCACGTATACCACAATAGGTCTGTGAGCTTCAACCATAATATGTGTGGCTCTACCACGTATACCACAATAGGTCTGTGAACATCTTTAAGATCGTCCCTGCTAGTACATTAGATTTCATAGACCACAAATTGTCGCAAAAGAACACCGTTTTTCCTACCAAGGATGATTCGCGAGGCTATTGAAATTAAAAAAAAACATCCTATTTTCAGTAGAGAAGAAGAATGGGTGCTACTATCTGCTTGAGATCCTATAATCATCATCATCATCATCATTACAGCCCTTCACAAGTCCACTGCTGAACATAGGCCTCCCCCAAGTAATGCCACAAAGCACGGTCCTGAGCCACCTGCATCCATCGATTTCCTGCATGTCTTACCAGGTCGTCACTCCATCTAGTGGGGGGTCGCCCTACACCACGCCTACCGGTACGAGGCTGCCACTCGAGAACCTTTCTTCCCCATCGGTTATCGGTTCTTCGAGCTATATGGCCGGCCCATTGCCACTTCAGCTTACTAATCCGTTGGGCTATGTCGATCACTCTGGTTTTACTGCGGATATCCTCATTTCTGAGTCTATCACGCAGAGAAACTCCAAGCATAGCCCTCTCCATAGCTCGCTGAGCGACCTTAAGCGTCCTCATACGGCCAGCAGTGAAGGACCACGTCTCAGATCCGTAAGTCATCACTGGCAACACGCACTGGTTGTACAATCTAGTTTTTAGAGATTGAGGTATACCTGACGAAAAGATATGTCGTAATTTCCCGAACGCTGCCCAGCCGAGTTGAATCCGTCGATTGACCTCTCGGTCGAAGTTGGACTTACCTAGTCGGACTATTTGTCCCAGATAAACGTACTCGTCAACAACTTCGAGCATAGTGCTCCCAACAACTACCGGCATAGGTGTGACATGGACATTAAACATGATCTTTGTTTTGTCCATGTTCATCTTAAGACCTATCCGTTGGGAGGCACTATTGAGGTCATTGAGCATAATGCTTAAGTCCTCCAGCGATTCTGCCATAATGACTATATCGTCGGCAAATCGAAGGTGAGTGATGTACTCGCCATTGATGTTAATACCGTATCCTTTCCAGTCCAGTAGCTTGAAAACGTCTTCCAACGCAGCGGTGAAGAGTTTCGGGGATATAACATCACCCTGTCTTACACCTCTCTGCAGTTGGATAGGTTTCGAACTCTGGTTCTGTACTCGGATAGCCATCACACTACTCGATGTACCGACAGTCAACTTAGCACCGCTGAAGGGACTGTAGCACCGCCCAAATTTCGACGGAATCAAAGGCTTTCTCATAGTCCACATATGCCAGGCAAAGTGGCAGATTGTACTCTTCGGTCTTCTGTACAATCTGCCGCAGGGTATGTATGTGGTCTATGGTACTGAA